TGCCGGGGGCCGGCCCTGCTCCCGCCGTCCTCACGGGCTGCCGGCCCTCGGGCCGCTCTGCAGCAGCCCCGAGGTCGGGGGGGAGCCGGGGCCTCCCCGGTCTCCCCTGCGGCGGCTCCGCGGGGCTCAGCACAGCTCCCAGGGCGGTCGCGCAGCTCCAGGCCGGGCTGAGCGGTTCCCGCTGCCGGGTGTCCCCCCGGCCCCTCGCAGCCCTGCCGGCGGCTCCCCGGTGGGGAGCAGGCCCAAGCCCGCGGGGAGCGGGCGGCAACTTGGCACTGCCCGGTTTTGGGCAGGGCGCGGACGCTCTTGGGTCAAACCGCGTCTTCCTCGGGAGCCTCTCCCGCTGGTCTGCGCGTTTCGTGCTGAATTGAACGTGTGTTAAACCTGCGCCGTGCGTGCGGGGATTCTGATAGCAGAGCTCTCCTGAGGCGGGCGCGCCGTGTTCTGGTGAGGAGGCTCAGTCCCAACACCTCACGCTCCAGGACAATAATAAACAACGGACGGTAAATAAAGGAGCATGCGGTTTTTATCTGTAACTCTCAGCGGCGGCAGAGGCACGGGGACGCTGCAGCCGCCTCCGAGGTGACGCCAGCGCTGGGCCGGGTGGCGGCGGCTGTTTTCTTTCTGCTGCGCGATGTGAACGCGGGCGCTGAGGTCTGCTGTTCCCGATGGCAAACGCGGCTGGGGAAGGGCTCCCCTCCAGTCAGACACAGCCTTCGTGCTCCTGCTGCTCCCAGCGCCCGCCGGCGATCCCGACTGCGCGTCTTTAGCAGCACAGCGGCCTCCTCTGCGACCGCCCCCCATCCCTAAACCCCGGCTGATCCCGGGTGCATCCCGACCTTCCCCGCCTGGAGATCAGCCGGGGACGTCGCTCTGGCTGCGGGAGAGGGGCTCAGTGGGGAATTTACCACCATCGTTTCTGGTTTTCGTTCCCTCGCGTACCCTCCCGCCCCCCTCACCCTTTTCTCATCTCACAACCATTTGTTTGCCTTCCGCCGTGTTTCAGCAGCAGCACGCAGGGATCACCCCAGCCCCTGGGAGACCCACGGCGCCGGCACAGAGCGTCCTGCCCGAACGGCCTCCCCAGCAGGCAGGACAGGCAGGACAGGCAGGACAGGCAGCGGGCAGGCGGGGACGCTCCTCCCAGCACAGCCAGGCCTGGAAACACAGGGCCAGAACCGCTGCCAGGAGCCCTCCGGCCCCCCCAGGCAGCCTCCGGCGCGGATCGCCTCCGGCACGCGTTTATCCGGCCTTTGGAAGCCTTCCCAGCCCCGCGCAGCCCGCATCGGTGCTGAGCTGCGTCTCCGGGGGGAGGTTGTTCCCAATACATAATGCAAATGTCTTGGTGCCACAAATCCCGCGTTTCCACGGGTTCCTCGCTTTCTCTGCCGGCGCCCAAGGCCGTACCGGGTCCAGTCCGGGGTCCCTGGCTCCGCACGCGCTCCCCCGCCGTGGAAAGCTGCTCCCGCTGCTCTCCCAGCCGCACCGGCGGCCCCGTGCTTTCAGCAGTGCGTGTTTAAGGGCATTTAAAGGCAGGGGCACGGATTCCCCACCCCCCTGTGAGCTGGACACTGCTGAAATCTGTGTAAAACTTGTTCTTTTCCCCTTCTATCGCAACGGGAAGGTTTATACGTGGGAGCAGGGGGGAGTCGGGAGCTGCCCCCTCCCGGCAGGGCGGCTGCTGGGTTTGCAGCGGCCCCGGGGGCAGCTCCGCATCAGCCCCGAGCAGCGAGGGAGCGGCTGCCTGGGCTTGTTTGGCTTTTAAAGGCTCTGTTATTTGTGCGACAGTGTCTGGCTGTTGCCGTTTGCTTCGGTCAGTGCACTACAGAGAAGAAAACATCCCTGATTTGACACGTGCAATAGCTCCCTTTGAATAAGTTGTGATTTTCTTTATTTTGAATTTTGCACTAGATCACGTTTTAAGCCCTTCTCCTGGAAGGGGTTTGGTTCCCCGGGAATCTCTGCCTTTATTAAAACATGCAAATAGCCTGCTGGCCTCGTGGCCATGCACAGGAGCTTGGAGAAGGCTAGGGAAAAAATGAGAGGGCAATGAGAGAAATCCCCAGCACAGCAGCTCTGGAGAGGTCCGTGGTTTCCTTAGCCCCGCTCCGGATTCGGGCAGCAGGAGTGCTGGGCGGGGGGACCCGGCTTTGGGGGTGACACGCGGGAAGCCGGCGGGGCGCTGGATGAGGCCCAGCAGCTGCCAGGGTGCCCTCCGAAATAGCGGCCCAGCGCCCGGCTCCACCGCCCCGGCACGTCCCGAGGGGTCGGGCTGTTCTCAGCACGGGCGCTGGCACGGCCACCGGCCCTGGACAGCCTCGGTGACGGCTGAGACGCTTCTCCCGCGGGGATTCTCTGCTGTCTAATAAGGGTTGGGCTTCACACCGCTGCTTTCCCCCGCGTAGAAGCGTCTCCCAAGAGGAAGGGTGTCACCGGGCGCATCAGAGCACGCTGCAGCCTCCCTCCCTCCCAGCCCGGCCAAACCGCCGGTGCGAGGGCTTGCGTTACGACAGCCAGCTCCAGCGCGGAGGCTGCCGGCGCAGCCCATGCCGTTCCAGCTCCTCCCGGGGAACAGCTGGGCGCAGGTGCCGGCACGCTTGCTCCGCGCAGTTACCAGCTGCACACCCGCTTCCAAACACGCAGAGGAACCAAGATGTTTGCAGCCGCAGCTTCCTCCCAGGCCGCGCTGCACTGGAGGTTAAAACGCCCTTTAGCGAAGGGATCGAGCCAGGCTCGGCTGGGAATCGCATGTGGGGCACCGGCTCCAAAAGCTGAGCCGTTACTTTGAGGCAGGACAGGACAAATCCACAAGTTCTGCTTTTTCACGAGAGCTACTGGCACCGCGCAGGATCACAAAGCACAGGCGGGAGATCCCCGAGCCCGTTTTGGGGGGCCCAAGCAGCGTCACAGCACATCCCTCCACCCTGGGATCCCCAGGGGCTCGGTGCGTCCCCAGGGACGGGTGTC